TTGGCCGGAACATTTTGGCGCCCACCGTGGGGCTACGGTAAAACTTTTCCTACGCCCCAAGAAATACAAAAAACCTACACTCTACTATGGCGAGAGGCGGCACATCCAACCACGACAACAACACCCTACCATGGAGGAGATGATGGCGTTGATCAATGGCTTGAAAGAGGAGCGCGACCCAGAGAGAGAGAAGGAGAGGAAGTTTCCCGCACAAAAACAGAGTGGGCTCTGTGTTTTCGTCGGTGTAAGGTCTTGCACCGTTGGATCGAGCTGATTTTTGGACTGTAGGTTCCAGAAATGTGGTTCTTCATTCTGACCGTTCGGATTATTAACCGGAGGCCTGGTTTGGGAGAAAACAGCTTCATATCAGTAGGTGAAAGTGTTCCAACACAAAACAGAGCTGGTACTGTGTTTTAATCGGTGTGAAGTCGTTCACCGTTGGATCGGGCTTATTTTTGGATTATAGGTTCAGGAAGTAAGTTTCTTCATTCTGACCGTTTGGATCGTCAATATGAGGTCTGGTTTGTCAAAGAACAGCTTCGTATCAGCAGGTGGAACCGTTTGACGGAAAACAGGATCCTAGTCAACATCTAATGGACTTTCGTGCTCAGATGTTAATTCGTGGAGGAAGCATGGGAGTCTGCTGCGAGGGTTTTATGCTACAAAGGGTTTTAACGAGGTAACATCAAATAATAAAAATCGTTATTTTCAAATTGATTGACTTGCAGGAAAACTCGTGATTGTCGGCAAAAGTCCGGCTGGGCGAGTATAAATAACTCGAAGACCAAACTCGTGATTGTCGGCAAAAGTTCGACTGGGCGAGTATAAATAACTCGAAGACCAAACTCGTGATTGTCGGCAAAAGTCCGGCTGGGCGAGTATAAATAACTCGAAGAACAAACTCGTAATTGATCGGTAAAAATCCGACTGGGCGAGTATAAATAACTCGAAGACAAACTCGTGATTGTCGGCAAAAGTCTGACTGGGCGAGTATAAATAACTCGAAGACAAAATATTAAACGACCCTACTACACAAAATGTATTTCGATCTAGTTCTAGCAACGAACTTCAACTTTTAGATAAATCTCTAGTCGGTATTTGGACGACTAGATGTTTTGATATTCATTTTTAACTTAGAAAAATTGTGGCATTTTCCTAGTCGGTATTTGGACGACTAGATGATTTGATAATTCATTTTAACTTGGAAAATTTTTTGGCATGTTTCACTAGTCGATATTTGGACGACTAGATGATTTGATATTCATATTAACTTAGAAAAAATTTGGCATGTTTTCCTAGTCGATATTTGGACAACTAGATGATTTGATAATTCATTTTAACTTAGAAAAATTTTGGCATGTTTTCCTAGTCGGTATTTGGACGACTAGATGATTTGATATTCATGTTAACTTAGAAAAAATTTTGGCATGTTTCCCTAGTCGGTATTTGGACGACTAGATGATTTGATATTCATGTTAACTTAGAAAAAATTTTGGCATGTTTTCCTAGTCGGTATTTGGACGACTAGATGATTTGATATTCAATTTAACTTAGAAAAATTTTGGCATGTTTTCCTAGTCGGTATTTGGACGACTAGATACATTGAAATTCAATTTTTAACTTAGAAAATTTGTGGCATTTTCCTAGTCGGTATTTCGGCAACTAGATGTTTTGATATTCATTTTTAACTTAGAAAATTTTTTGGCATCTTTCTAGTCGGTATTTGGACGACTAGATGCTTTGAAATTCAATTTTTAACTTAGAAAAAATTGTGGCATTTCTGGTCGGTATTTGGCCGACTAGTGACATTGAGATTCAATTTTTAGACAAATAAAAGTTCTCCGTTTGTTAGGGTCGGAATTAAGACGACACGTTTTGCAACACCACAATTTATATATATAACTTGTAAGAACGAGTATATAAGAACAGCCAGCCATGAAGTTATGTGAAAGAAAAAGATACTTCATAAGAGTTTTCAATAGAAATTCAGTAGAGTTTTAAAAGGACAACAAGGCAAGGATTACAAAATATGGAAGTCGGATAATATCGCAGAAATAAGACTCAGTCGTCCTCGGGGGGATCTACAAGCTGTCCATCTATGATCTCTTTGAAATAACCAACGCCTTCAAGGTCAACATTGGCATGCAAAAACTTCATTTGGGCAACGGCAGCATCGAAGCCTTAGGTAAACTTCTTCAATGAGTCCATTTTGATGGTATGTATGCCAGTTTGTAACTCCTCGACCTCTGCCTTCAAGTTTGCAATGTCATTTTCAAAAACTTGAGCAGCATCGGCATGCTTGTCACGCGCTAGGCGAGCATCCTCCAGCTCTTTCATCATTACAACTTTCTATGCAGCCCAAGCTTGTTTCTCGCCTTCAAAGACACGACGGCCTTCCAGCAATTTATCTCGCTCAGTGGAGACCCACTTACACTCAGCTTTGCTCTTAGTCAAACTATCTTTAAGGGAGCTGATCTTTTTCCCCTGAAGCTTAATCTCTCGTACCAACCCACGAATCTTGTCCTCGTTGATAAGTGACAAGGCAGACAGACGGTTAGTCAACGACTCGACACCCTTTGCAATCAAAAAAGGGCTCATTTTTTCCAGGTCGTCTTTGTCGCCCTCGAGTAAGTCGGTGTGGCGAATGTGGGACGAATAGTTAAATTTCTCATCCCAGAAAGATGGCGCCTTCCCTTGGTCAGTACCGTGATCGACAGGCTCCCAATTGTCCCCAATGCACATGCTCAAGGTCCGCTCAGCCGATTGGACTTCAACATCTTTTTCGGTCTCCTCTACCCCGATCTCAGTCTCGAGATTCACCAGGGTGATGGGAGTCTCGGCCTCCCGGTGACGCTTGAGGGGAGTCGCGGCGACAACACTCTTTTTGAGAAGGGCCCCAGCATCACTCGCCCTCTCATCGACTTCATCCAATCCGATAGCCTTGGAAGCTTCTTGCTGCTTCCACAGTTTCCTCATCTCGCGATTGCTCAAACTGGCCATCTTACCTGCATAAGAGTTGAATACATGTTATCTTAACAGGGCGACACAAATCAAATTCAAATAATATTGAAAGGCTATCGGCGAGAGACCGACTACCTATATAGATCCTCAATTCACTGGGTCTATTTTCTAAGTCTAGAAGCCTAGTAGTGTTGAAAATCGTTTGGAGCTCCTCAAGTTTTTTAACGTCCCTTTGATCCTCCTCAGCGACCTTCTCGAATGACAGACCACCATAAGTTACCGTTCGCCGGTTCCAATACACAGGGTATCCGTCGAGCAAATTTTCATTCCCAGGGGTACATCGAAGTCGAAAAAATGACTTTTTAAAGTCCTTATAGGACGATTGAAACAATGTCAAAAGCCCTCGCCCATTTACTCCACCAACGGAGACCCAACTAGTACGCTTGCTCACTCGAGATTCAAAAAAATAGAAAAACTTGTCTAAAGTCGGAATAATGCCTAGACCCGAGCACAAAATCTCAAACCCTCGGACAAACGCCCAACTATTGGGGTGAAGTTGTGTAGGGGCTACATTTAGTGCCTGGAGCACTCCTTTTTCACACTCAGAAAGGGGCCACCTCACCCTAATCTTTGAAATTAAAGTGGTGTAACAGAAGGTGAACCTCTCGGAGGGAGTCCCTCGGACACACACGGGTTCCCTATCAACACAGGGCTCACACACGATCACACTATCCCCCCCCTCACAAACTACGTGTTCACTACAAAAGTTATCAACTGCAGCCCACGAGTTCATACAAGATTCACAGCGTAAAACATCGTCCTTTACCCACTCATACATTCCCTCATAACTTAAAGCTGCCATTTGAGCAAATATCCCTAACCTTTCTAACTTAGGAGGAAACCGAAGTTTCTCTATAAACAGAAAGGGTAGATGGGCGTACCTAAAGCCACACAACAACTCTTCCCCACCCTACAAGAAGCCACCGGAATGCTGTGAACCGTCGTGCACCACCGTAACTCAAAGCGACGCAGCAGAGGCCACCGGAGAAGAAAAGGCAAGAAAAAGGAAACGAAAAGAGGTGATAAGAAATGAAGGCCACGCTATTTATAAGAGGCCAAAGGCCGGGCGTGAAAAGGGAGGCCCAAGGGTCGCAGCGCGTGTGAAGGGGGAGACCCAAGGGTCGCAGCGCGCGTGAAACACTGCAACCCTTAACCTAAGGGAAAAGGGGTCCCACACCATTAACTTGAACAATACGTTCCGCCACGTGGCACAATCATTACTTAGACCTCTGCGACGCCGGCCTTGCAATAAATGCATGTCCTTTCTCGAGTAAGGTGAAAAGATACCTCTTTTAGGGCTCTGGAAAACCACGGTCCCACGTGACGACTTGATTCTCGGTGTTCTCCCGACACCTATTCCCGGCCCATGGCCGTGGAGGCTGCACCGTCTAGATCAAAATCCGACTTGATCTTCTGCTCGGACAATCCCCGACCAGGTTACCCGGCTACAAGCCTTCTCGCCTTACAGGCTCAAGGCTGGAAGGCAAGTGTACCGTCTAGATCGAAATCCGACTTGACCTTCTGCTCGGACAATACCCGACCAGGTTACCCGGCTACAAGCCTTGAGCCTGTAAGGCGAGAAGGCTGGAAGGCAAGTGTACCGTCCAGGCCGAAATCTGACTTGACCTTCTGCTCGGACAATACCCGACCAGGCCGCCCGGTTACAAGCCTTCTCGCCTTACAGGCTCAAGGCTGGGAGGCAAGTGTACTGTCCAGGTTAAAATCCGATTAAGTTTTCTTCTCAGGTATTTCCCGACTATCGTATCAGGCCACAAGCCCTTTCGCCTTCTCGGCTCAGGGCTGGAAGGCAAGTGTGCCGTCCAGGTCAAAATTTGACCTGCACCTCTATTCGACAGTAGGGCGACCATGCCTACTCGGCACTAACCCGACCGAGGGCTCAACACAAACCTAGTCGGTCATGACTCGACTCGACCTGGGGAACTCGATTCCTCTCGCCTATAAGGACTAAGGAGACTACTCGGCATTAACTCGACTGGGTCCTCTGCGTGGACCCAGTCGGTCAGAACCCGACTAGACTTATCCCCTTTAACCTCGCGCCATCAAGATAAGAACGGTTAGGGAAATTCCTTTATTCTCGTGGCCCAAGAGGCCCATGAACGACGTACCATAAAACCCAAAACCCTAGAGTTGAGAAAACATATTACACTTTTGAATGTTCTGGCTTTGAGGCTTGACCTAGGCAGAAACCCTAGTCCACCCCTTGACCGGAACAATAATAAATTAATTATTTTTATATTTAAATTAATAAATAGGATACTGAAATTTATAATTTTAAACAATGAGTGCAGACAGATCAAAGTAGAATAATAATTAGAGTTGTCTTTTACTTAAATAAAATGAAGAAAAAAAATAGTGTGACACGTTCCATAGTTTAAATGCTATATAAATCGATTATCTTATTATTTTTCTATAGAAAAGAAAATTATTTTATTATATTATTAAATATTTTATTTTTCTACTTTAAAAGATTTTCATTTTAATACGGATTGCATTTGTTTGGATAATTTTTTTTAAAATACTTATAAAATAATAAGAAAGATGATGAGAATAAATTTTTAATAAGTTAAAATAAATTTAAATTTTTAAAAAATAATATTATTAATTAAAAATTAATTTATACGTAACTAGTTTTAGATTTTAAAAAATATTATTTTATTTTCTTTTATTTTTTGTAATCTGTGACTGTGAGAATCGAATACAGTGCAAAGAATTACTATAATTCAGAATCATTCACGCACACTTGCTCAATTAATTAGGTTAGATTCTCTTTGATTTATTTATTTTTACTAAAAATGATTTTGCAGAAACTTTTCCGAACAGCTGCATTATTTTTGTCTGAGTAACACGTGTACCGACGAAAACGTCCACATGTGCTGCCAAGGCATAAGCACGAGTCACGAGCCACTCCGTTTCATATATATATATAGGGCCTCGTGTCTCTCGTGCTTAAATTTTAAATATTATCTGACGCTGCTCCTAAATCACATACACATTAAAAACATTAATTTTTTACTTCAACTAAAAATAGAAACATAACATTTATTTATTTTAAATTTCATTAAAAAAATTATTCCTTTTTTATAGATTTTAGAAACTTATTAACAAAGTATTCTACTGAATATATCTTTTAATTCCCTATAATCAATTGATTAAAAAGAATGTTTATATCTATTTAACAAAATAATTAAATCGACCTTAGTTGGACTAATCAAAACAAAACGGAGGATTAAATATTATTATTTTAAAATTTAATATTTACAAAAAGATTTTATATGTAAAATTTTTTCATCATGAGAATCATGTTTTATGGAAATGATATTTCTTAAGAAACAAGTTTATCTAAAAAAAATTTGAAAATGAGAAAACATAATTATAGTATATAAAAAAACATCCTTTCATAGATTGTTGTATCCCGCCACTCCCAATGAAAAATTAAAGTGAAAAAATAAATTTAAAAACGAATTCAGAAAAAGTTGGATTTCTTTAAATATATTTGTTTTACATCTGTGGAAGCAAAATTGTTATGATTTAAAAACTTAAAAGAATTAATATTTCTGACTGGGCATTATAAAAGCAAGTAATGTGAAGAAGAAATGGAAAGAAGCAAAAGAAGAAGAAGCATGGAGAAAGGGAGTGAGTTAAGGTCAATTTTCCTTCCCTTTCTTTCCACTAGTCACATAATCCCGCTAGTGGACATGGCCAGACTCTTCGCCCTACACGGCGTCGACGTCACCATAATCACCACCCCTCAAAACGCCACCGTTTTCCAAAAGTCCATCGACCTCGACGCCACCCGGGCCCGGCCCATCAGAACCCACCTCGTCAACTTCCCCGCCGCCAAAGTGGGCCTCCCGCCGGGCATCGAGGCCTTCAACGTCGACCTCCCCCGCGAGATGGCTCCAAAAATCTACATGGGCCTCGCCATCCTCCAACAGGAATTCGAACAACTCTTCCACCACCTTAAACCCGACTTCATCGTCACCGACATGTTCCACCCTTGGACCGTCGACACCGCCGCCAAACTAGGCATTCCTAGGATCATGTTCCACGGCGCAAGTTATCTCGCTCGCTCCGCTGCGCATTCCGTGGAACAGTACGCGCCCCATTTGAAAGCTGATTCTGATTCCGACAAGTTTGTGTTACCAGGATTACCAGACGCGTTGGAAATGACGCCGTTGCAGTTACCAGATTGGCTTAGGTCTCCGAACCAGTACACGGAGTTGATGAAAACGATTAAGGAGTCGGAGAAGAAAAGCTATGGCTCGTTGTTCAACAGTTTTTACGAGCTGGAAAGTGGTTACTACGAGCATTATAAGAAGGTTATGGGAACTAAGAGTTGGGGGATTGGACCGGTTTCGTTGTGGGCGAATCAGGATGCTTCGGATAAAGCTGCAAGAGGGTATTCGAAAGCAGAAGAAGAAAAAGAAGGGTGGCTTACGTGGCTGAATTCAAAACCGGCAAGTTCTGTGCTTTACGTGAGTTTCGGGAGCATGAACAAGTTTCCTTACTCTCAGCTTGTGGAAATCGGACGTGCGCTTGAAGATTCGGGGAGTGATTTTATCTGGGTGGTGAGAAAGAACGAGAACGAGAACGATGGAGATGTTTTTCTGGAGGAGTTTGAGAAGAGAGTGAGGGAGAGTGGAAGAGGGTATCTGATATGGGGTTGGGCGCCGCAGTTGTTGATTCTGGAGAATGCGGCCATTGGAGGGTTGGTTACTCACTGCGGTTGGAACACGGTGGTGGAGAGCGTGAACGCGGGGTTGCCGATGGTGACGTGGCCTCTGTTTGCGGAGCATTTTTTTAATGAGAAGCTGGTGGTGGATGTGTTGGGGATTGGGGTTCCGGTGGGGGCCAAGGAGTGGAGGCAGTGGAACGAGTTTGGGAGTGAGGTGGTGACGAAGGAGGAGATTGGAAAGGCGATTGCGTTGTTGAAGGAAGATGAGGAAATTAGGAAGAGAGCCAAGAAGCTTAGCGATGCGGCCAAGAGGGCCATTCAGGTTGGTGGGTCTTCGCATAATAACATGAGAGAGTTGATTCAGGAGCTCAAAGAGATCAAACTTTCCAAGGCTCAAGCAAATCCTTGAGAACCATTCTTCCTCTCTTTTGAATGAGAACACAATTTAGGCAATTTCTTTTTGTGCAAGTTCTATTTAGTGGGCATTAATGTTCTTTTTATAAGGGTCATTCAAATAATATCATGTGTGATTTTTATTAAATTTATTATTTTATAAGCAAGTTTTAATTTTTGCTAATTAGTCTTTCATTAATTTATTATATTTTGGAGGATAGTTTTACATTACTTACATGTTTTTCATCTTTCGATTTCATTCTCTCTCACAAAAACATTTCTTTCTCTTGTTCTCTCTCTGCGCACCTCCCACACTTCTGCTCCGTCGCATACTCACTCTACTCCAAAACCTACTCTCTCTACCAAAAACACCAATAGAGATCCAACTTTATTGTCTACAACAATAGAAACTTCACCAACTACAGAACAAGTCGACTCGACTCCTTCAAGAACTACTCCAATAGCTAGTGCAAAAATGACCCCATAACGATTTCCATGAATATAGCAAAGTCTCCACAAACCACAAATTCTTCAGTTACAAATCCTTCAACAATGTCATAAATGACACCTTCCGCAACTATAGTGGCACTACCACCACCGACGCCTCCACTTTCGGCAACTATGTGGAGTTTGTTAACGGCTTCAACAACCTAGAATTTACCTCTTACTCCGACGACACCAAAGAAAGATCTCAATCCTTCACCAGATACACCAAAAATAGTAATGATGGAGAACAATCCTTCACTAGTTATGGCACGAGCTTGAACCCTACCATAATCGGATTCTCTAATTAAGGTTTTTGAAGATGAGGTTGATAATTGTTAAACACAACTTCGTCGACGAAACTTGCGCCAATAATCTCGAAAACACTTTTCATATCAACTTGCATTTCACTTTGTGCCAACAAAGCTTGCGTTTGTCAACAAAGTCGAAGATTCAAGATAGTAGCGGTTAATGAGAATATTAGGGTTTCAAAGCTGAGACTATGTAAAACACGGATGTTGGTAGGGAGAAAGAGGGTAAGAGAAAGAGAATGAAAAAATGAAAACAAATGAAGAGCAAAATTTGAATCTAAGTTGAAATCCTATGCTAAAAATCATCAAAATTAGAGAGAACAAGAAAAAGAAATGTTTTTGTGAAAGATAGATTCGAAAAGTCAGATACATGTAAGTAATGTGGGATTATTCTCCAAAATGTAATAAGTTAATGAGAGGTTAATCTACAAAAAATGAAACTTGCTTATAAAATAACAAGTCTAATAAAAATCACACACGACATCATTTAAATGGTCATAGTTAAAGAGGGCATTGATACCCTCTAAATAAAACTTACATCAAAGGAATTGCCCATAATTTAGTGTTTGTTTAGAAAATATATATATATATATATATAATTAATTATAAAATGTATTATATATATTATATA